CTACTTTGATTTTCTTTAATAAAGAAAAAAATGGAGGCTCAGGAAGGTGAGGTGACTTGCTCAAGCCCACAGCAAGAGTAAGAAGTAGGGCACCTAATTTGTCAACGAACCAGAAAAAAAATTGTTCCAAGACTAAGAATTGTACAAATTTTGCATTCTGTATATTTACTAACAGTTTGATGAATTGTTTAAAAGTAGAACTGTCATCCAGTGCTCTGCTTCTGGCACACTGACACTATCTCACACCCATGTTAACTGGACCTACTGGACATCACATATGGACAAGGAAAACCCATTATTTAGTGGGCACCATAGATGTCTCTTTATCATTTGAATCTGGGCTGTCTTTCTCTTCTGCTATTAATCTACATGCCAGGTCTAGTCCATGGTCTACAAATTAAAAATGGTTTTTACATTTTTTAATGGATAGAAAAAATAGAAAATATTTTGTGAGACATGAAATTATATGAAATTCAAATTTCAATGTCTGTAAATAAAGTTTTAATGGAATACAGCCATGTTCATTTGTGTATTGTCTACAGCTGCTTTTCAAGGTACAACTGCAGAGTTGATGAGCTGCAACAGAGACCATGTGTACCTCAAAGACTAAAATTCTGTTTGGTCCCGTAGAGAAAAAGTTTGCAAATACTGGGTATCTTGAACCATCGTGTCTCAGATTTCCTGTGCTATAGAGGAACAGATGCTCTTTTTATGACCACATGAAAGGAAACTGTAATCTTTACCAATAAGCTACTTATGTAATAAACATTCTGTTTCCCAAATATACCCCCGTTTTCATATACTTTCTGAACTGACATGCTTTTGCCACACTGCTGGCTCCTTTGTTAGCGAGTTAATGTCGATACGTGCTTAAGATCAACTTGTCTAAGAAATGTTATCTTAGCATGTTCTCAATGAAAAGGTTGGTTCACATCTCAGAAAAACAGATGTGATAAAGAATGCAGTGTATTGCTTGACTGACAAAGAAAAGAAACAGAAGTCACTTCTGACCAGTCTTGGTTGTCTGTGGAGAAGATGGATCCAGGTCCTCAGGCCTCGTTCCATTGCTGTGTGACTATTAATCATACCACCGTGTTTATTCAGGGTAACTACTCTCCAGGTACTATTATTTCACTTAATCCTCGCAATAAACCTGAAAGGCAAGTTCTATACGATTTCCATTTACAGATGGGAAAAGCAAAACTGAGAGACTAAACGTCTTGCCCCAAAACAATAACACATGGAAGGTAGCAAAGGGACATGTGACCAGGGAAGATGAGGACAGCAATGCCTCTCAAATCCATGTCCTTATTCTGAGCCAAGTGACTCAGAATGTTACTGTGGGGCCCCTTGGTCTGTGCATGCCAGGGATTTATTTATTCCACTGCTCACAGTAAGGCTTCTGACTGGGAGGTGGGGGTCCAGGAACAAACTGGGAGACAAGAACAAAAGGATTTCCTTATTTTCCCCTAGCATTTCCCCACACCTTAATCTCCCTTCGTCTGTTGTATTTACTGCAAATGTGTTTCCTAATTGGTTATTTGACTTATAGTTTTTTTTCCTCTATACCTAAAAAACTTTAAAAGATTCCATATGAGCTCATGGGGAAAAATAGTATCGGCATTATGGAATATAAACATGACTCTTCTACCCACCCCCCACAATAATTTCCATTTCCAGAAACTACTGATAGAGAAGGAAACTTTGTCATTCTTTTGGACAGCTGCCAATGAGTATCTTTATCACCTTATGGACACTTAAAACGCATTTAAATTTTTTCTATTTGTAAGTTGTTTCATCATATTTAGGTTTAGAAAAGTCCTTCCCAGGCTATAGGTATATGGTGCTGCTATTTTCTCTTCGCAGTAAAAGGGACTAAAAAAAATTTCATGTTCAAAATATTCTGGGTTTCCATTAGAAACTGTAGAGCTACTTTCAATTTAAGGCATTCTACACCAACTCAGCTGCCTGCACTTTTTGCTCCTTACGGGAATTCCTAAATTAGTCATCACTTGGTTTATTTCCAGAGTTTACAATCTCTTCACCTGTCATTTTTACAGAAACTCTCTAGCTGAAACAGAGCAATAGTCTCTACCAGGGCCCCATCAGAAACCCTGGTTGCAGGCTTCCTATGGCTGTTTCCCAACAGGTGTTAAATGTGTCAGGTAGGAAGTCATTTTATTGCTCAGATGGGAAGGGCATTTTGGAGATCTTTCCCTGTCCAGCTCACTACCTTCCTCCCCGAACTCTCCTTGAGGTAGGGTTGGGGCCCAAATGCTAACGAATACTCCTCCAGACACATCCTATGGGCACAGGACCCTCACAACTAAGTGGGCTGAAATGGGGAGGGCAGGACAGGAAAGTGGGAGAAGGAGCGACTGGGTGGAGACAAAGACAGGTTGTGCATACCATCCTCCTCCTGGAGGATTGAGGGGGCTGGCACAGAACTCTGTGCTGAGCAGGTCCAGGTGGAGAGCGTGAGGCTGCACAGCAATGGTGGGGCAGACTAAGGAGTTCCCTGGGAAAGGGTCTGCATTTGCTGCCATCAGTGAAAAACTGACCCTAGGAGCCAGTCAGGGACTGTGGGGGTCCCCTGGACAGACCTGGGGTTGAGGCTCCTCCCACCTGGGACTAGACCAATTCCCTGCTGTTCAATCTCACTGGCACATGTGAAAAACAAATAAACAGGGAAACTGTAGAGTGGGTCAAATGCTCGAGTCTATTAATATGTCACAGAAGCCCTTTTGCTTCAAGTTTCAAGGGTGGTTTCTGAAACCTGTTCTTCTTGGGCTCCAGCTCAAGTCCCAAGGGGGAGTACAAAGCTGCCGACAAAGCTGCTGACTTCACCTGCTTCTTGAAATTTGCTGCCTCCTGCTAGGCAGAAGATGGCTCCAGCTGGAGACATCTGGGCACCTAATGGCATAAAACCATATTCCTTCCTCTCTTCCTGTACATTAGAAGGACATGGGAGTGAGCAGGTATGGGACTCTAGGCACACTCTGTGGAGAGGAGAGTGCTTTGTGCCCAAGTTCCCAGCCCAACAGCCTGACAATCCAAATCCCTGGCAGTGGTCTGCACCACTATCCAGTCACGTGGCCTCTCTCTCGGGAAAATTACTCTCCAAGTCTGTAACTTCCATCTGTAAAATGAGGTAAGCAAGTGTTGGTGAGTAATAAGTAATAAAGTAATAAATCACTTTATAAAGTAATAAATTAGACAAATACAAACATTTTATTAAAACTGCCAGACTGACCTAAAAGGGTAATTAAGACATCTGAAAGCAAGGTGCTGGTGGGTCAGCTGGGGAAGGAGTTGTGTCCTTTCAGAAGTTGTCCAACTAGAGCAAATGTGGTTCTAGTAAGTTCTAAATCCAGGCCTCACCCCAAACAAACACAAAATAAATTGTTCTCTACTCCTCCCTCCCAGAAAACAGCAAGGAGTTACATACGGACTACCTCTCCAACAGCTGAAGTTCTTGAAGACTTAACATGTGCCTGGTACTGTTGAAACAACTTCACACTTACTAACTTGCTTTATCTTGCCACGGTTCTTTCAGATCTGTGCCTTTTCCCTGGTCTGACAGATATAGAGAAGTTAGGGAATGTGCCCAAGAATACACAGCTATGCACAGAGAACAGTGTTCAGTAAACGAGTGCTCAGCTGGCCTTTCCTAGTAAACAAACTCTCAAAGAGCAGGACAGTCTCAGAGCAGGAGGGCACTCAGCGTGCAGCGACTCCCTCAGTGCAAACTTCAGAAGAGCCTCTATGCCAAGAGCGAGAGGAAGTCCTCAGGGATTAGTCACCACTGCAGCCTCCACAGCCCAGAGCCAGTCTTAGGAGGCGCCTTGGAGGCTGTTTCAGATGAAACAAGAAAAAGATCTTTATGGCACATTAAAAACTGGTCTGAGAAGTCCTCTATGAAAAGAGAAAAACCTATAGATTAGCTTCGCCTGCACAGAGTGCCCACATGGCCTCACTTGGGACCAGGTGTGCCTGAGTCCTCACTGTACAGCCTCTGCTGCACAGTGGGGCTGCACTGCCAGCTGGCTTTCTGTATCTATGCCTTTCTCTAGTACAGTGATGTCACTATATTCACATTGACCCTTCACTTGTTTGGCTTGGCCTCTTCCACAAAAGTTGAGATTTTAGGGGATGATTGTCAGTTTCATGTATTGCAGTGCTTTTCTAGGTAGGTCGCTTCTGATGTAGTTTCCTCTGATTCAGGTGAGGAAAATACCATCTTGACTCCTTCCCTACAGAAAGTATTTTCACAGGGCTTTAACAGGGAAGAGACTTGGGTAGGCCCCAGGAGCTTCCATGGTTGAAAATTCAAGGGGTTCATGACCTGGAAGTAACTTGTGTCAAGGCTGTGTAGAGATGGGCACAGATGCTTTTAAGATGTACCTATGAATGGAGTATGACATCAAGTAATGGCTACCCCCTGCCAAGTATGTCAGTAGGCAATTCTCCTAGAGAAAGCACAGCCCTGCTTTATTCTAGAAAAAATTTAAGACTGTTTATATAAACTACAAGGAGGACGCATACATTCAATGTGGGAAGTCTTCCTCTAAGGCCAGTGCTCAAATCATTTCCATCACCTCAAGAACATTTTAGACATCTGAATTAATGGCCTCATGTCTACTATGTCCAACTCAATGTCCTCCTTATTACCCTGTGAAAAGAGACTGAGACAACCCAGTCCTAACAATAAATTCCCCTCCTAGCTTCTCTCCATGACTCCAGTTAGAGACAGAACACTTGCTGCTCTGGTTATTCCTCTTGGTAGGAAGTGAGCATGTGACCATGGGAGCCATCGGCTCTAGCACAGGGTGCAGTTAAAGCAAATCCTTACCACAGGAATAGCCAATTAGCAAATTCACCGATTACTCTATTTACATTTGTGTGGTCGATAACTTTCTAGGTTCATAGGTGTCAAACCAATGAATGTATAAGCCAGTCCATTTCTATTGCATAAAACATGATATAAAATTAAAAAATACTCATGGAAACATAAAGTATGTTTATTATTGCTATAATCAAGGCGAAAGTCTCAAACAATTAGCCTTGATAATGGAAATATAATCAGAACCATTATTCATGAATCTACAGTTTGTTGTTCTCTGCTGTTCAGGCTTCACGGTTTCATACACACCATGTACCACAAGACCTTTATCACACGAGAGGAAGAAAAAGGAACTTGGAAGTCACAAAGCATGGCTTAACCCCTTCCTTAGTTACTTGACTTCAGACCAATCACCTACTCACTGTGAACCTGTTTCATTCTATGTTTTAAAAAAATTGGGGAGGAGGAAATGGAATAAACCCACCTAATTTGGAGGATTAACTGAAATAGCATGGGTGATAACTGAGAGAACATAAATGGAATTGCCCTGTACCCCTGAAAAAATTATACAAAATAGAGAACCACTAATACTAGTGCTTATAACCTTTCCAGAGAGAGACAGGTATCCTCACTACACAGTCTGAATGATGGTTACTGAGAGTCTGGAATCCTGGGCAGTAGAAAGGGCATTAATAAGCAAGCTCCAAACCCACTGAGGAAGGACCTGGCTTGACAAGCCATGTAACATGGACCCAACTTTGCCCTAGAAACACTTTGTCAGTTTTATTTTACCTTAATATACATCTGTACAGGCAATAACAAAAAGGCTATTACACAACAATTGGGTGAGTTTTACCTAGTTTCAAGAATAATGCATGCAGTTACAAATGAGAGGTAGAAACACTGTATTAAAGACCTAAAATTACAAACATCATATAAATAAGTGTTTAAATTAACTGCTGGAATTTCATAGATAAATAAGGTAAAAATTACATTACTTTGTCAAAATAAAACCATGTTTTTGTTTTTAGCAATATGCTAAAATTAGATTAATGCCAACAAGCTTCTGTGCAATTTGTCAGATTTATTATCTAAAAGGATGAAAATAAAAAGATTAAAACTGGAGAATGGTTTATTCAAGTACTCAAGCAGGTAAGTAAAAGAAACTAAATAATATACAACAGAGGAATCATAACTGCCCACATTCTCCATGAAGCTATTTGGTGAATTGTCAGGATTAACATAAAAAATAGATATTAGGCTGGAGAGAGGTGCCCATTTTCCCAAGAGAAATCAAACCTTATTTTTCACTAACTTCTTGTAGAAACTCCACATCATTAACAAGCTTTTAGATCACCAACTTTGTCTTGGCCCTATTAAAATTCTTGATTGATATTTTTCCTAATACTGCCCAAATAAATCTAGCCTTTAATAAACTTAGAGGTCACAGGAATCAATGCACATTCTGCATGCACGATAACAAAGGCAACCAAAAGCAAACAACCAGCAACTCAAAAATATCACAGAAAATCTGTGGGTGTAGATGAATAGGTTAAAAAATGCAAAGGTTCACATGAACACAAGTTTTTACCATTTAAAAGTCCACTAGATATTACATGTGAATTCTGGAAAGGATGTGTATATATAATCAAGTAAAATAGTTTTTAAACAAGTCCATTGTGCCTCAGTTAGTTTTAAATTGCAAAATCCAATACAGAGTTGTTTTAATAAATTAGTGCAATATATGAAAGATTCTGGAAGATTAACAAGTGTCCGTATTACATCAAATTGAAGATTTCACAATTTCTTCTAAGAGCCATCTTTCATATCTTCTTATTTCTTCCTGAGCTGTTTAAGGATGCATGCTCAGATTTAGACAAACTTGCCCCAAGTATCAAACTGCCTGGATGAGATGTAGATTTAAAAAAATTTTTATACCTCAGTAAACGTGGAATTTCACACATTGCTCTGGTGAACTGAGTGAAGAGCCACTCACTTTGTTTCATTCTTAATTATCCTTAAGAATAACTGTACTGATGATTCTAGTTCTAAGGTACATTTATTTACCAAATTCAAACTGAAAGACAAGTGGAATACTCTTGCTTCTGCTTCTACAAGAAAAAGGGAAGGGGTGACTTCTCCAATAAGGCAGATTTTCTACAAATATGTAGTTTTTGGATTATTTTCCTTTTTTGAAATCACTGCTTGTTCTTTGGTAGTCACCAGGTAAGAAACTACAGTCTCCTGGGGATGGGGCAACAGAACCCAAGCTGGACTCTCAAACATAACACCTCACATCCCACCACTGGTCCATGGGACAAGCCTGCTGCTGCTCACATGGCCGAGGCGCTATAGCAGAGTGCCGATAATCTTCTTTCGATACTAGATTTATCTAGAAATAAAATAAATTCATAATAAAGATCATTTTTATTTTCAAAACCAAAGAAAGAAAAACTTATTTAAAAAATTACTAACTCTCTACTAACATCCTCGCCTCTGTTCTATTTTGCCCCCAAGTTAACAGTTCTATATACTTTTTCTTCTTTCTGCCTGATAACTGTTTAGATATGATTCATAGTTTAGTGCTGCACACATTGGTAAAATTTAGATTAGCACATCAAATAAATATTTATATTTTTAACAGCTAGCTTGCTCACAGTTGCAAATAATTTTAGAATTGCCATCCTCTTGTGGCTCTTCAAAACGTGGTATGACCACATTTACTCCAATGGGTCCACTACCTCTTCCTTAAAAACCAGATCACTGTGCTTATATTTGACAAGTGATAATATAATCCTGGTATCTTATCAATCTCTATTCTGCTGTCTATACCAAATATGCAGTATGTAGAGTCTTTATAGGACTCCTCAGTCACTAAGCCCACGAGGCTTAAAATAGTTGCATTTATTATTATTTAATAATAAAAATGAAGTTCTCTACATACACAAACACATACCCACCAACATCGTAATGCAGTGTAGAAATCTAAAGATTAATGACATAAGCCATCAGTACTTTACAAGCATTAGCTCTAATCCTTACAACAATTCTGCAAGGTAGGCAATGTTCCCTAATCTTCTAGATGAAGAAACTGAGAGCACAGAAAGGGTAAGTGATTTGCCCAATATTGGAAAACCAAGATTCAAACTGAGGCAGCAAGATTCTAAACTCCATGCTCTTCCTACTCTGCCTCTCGGAGACAACTAAACTGCAATCAATAAACACACTACTTTCTAAGTCAACTTACATTTATGTACACTTTCAATATCTGCCGGGTCCTGAAGAATCTTAGTTAGGCCTTCCAAAAGAAGGGCTGCTTTATGATAGCGATAAACAATATCTTCAGTCTGCTGAAACATTTCATCCAGGGCTGCAGACTGAACCTGGAACCAGTCAACAAAAACAAGAAGATTCACAGCTTTTCCAAGAAAATACAAATTCATTTGCCCAATGAAGCCTGAAGTGGAATCTATTTAAAATTAACACATTTTTACAAAATGACAATCTACCAAACTATATAAAAATTAAAGATTCATCTGATGAGCAATATGAAGAAAGACTATATATTGGAACATAATTGATGTCTAATTTTATGGAGACTGAAACACAAGTGCTAATATTTCTAAGCTTGCTAAACAGCCAGAGCAAAAGGAGAAAGTTATTGAAGTTTCATGGCTCTTTATTATCTTTATTGTTATGTTACTGTGATAAAAATAAGATCAGGCCAATAATTAATTTTTTTCTCCCACTTAACTACTATTCTTTAACAGTCCCTAATTTCATCTATACTTCAGAGCATTTCCGCCCCACATGAGACAGAAAATAAACTATTTCCAATAATATAACTAGGCAATTGGAAAAGGAGATCTTACTTTGTGTCTATACTTAAGTAAAGCCAGTAAGTAGAATCTGAACATAGGAATTTTTGTGGACTGATTAATAGAGTGGCATTTTTTCTAATGTTTTATCAAGCCATAATTTCTTAAATAGTAGAAAATACAGAAACAGATCCAGCTAAAGCTTTTATATGCAAACGATAAAGAGTAGATCATGTTTAATTTTAGCCATTTTTAAAAGATAAAATAAAATTTTACCAAATGTCATAACCAACCTTACTTAATGTGTTACTTAAATGTTAAGTTCAATTACTCCTTTAGTAAGAGGTAATCACAATATTTGGGACTTGGGAGTGGTAGGGAATAAACTCTTTTTAAAGGGCTAGATAACATCAAGTAGATATTCAATTTAAAAGATACTCTTCAAGATAAGTAGCATTATGCTATATTAATCTTTAAAAAGGGTTACCATTTCTACAGCACAATTATAGATGAGTTTCTCGGCAGTAACACTGTTGATTTCATCAATAAATCTCTGTTTGTCAGAGAAGAAGCGAGTGAGCTTTTCTGTAAGTTTCTTGCACATGGTGATGCAGAATTTATATCGTTCATTCAGATTTTTGACAACTGAAAAAAAGTTAAGGAGAATTGATTTTAATTTTCCTCCAGAAATAAAGTCACAGTGACATGCGCCTTTCCTACTGATTTAAGGAAAGTGACACTAAATGATCACTGAAAAAACGACTGGAAATCAGATTCTTTCATATGTTCTCTCATTCGGTTAAGAAGACTGAGAATAAAACACTTTCTGACTGCTCTCTATATCAATTAAATGGCAAAACAAACCAAAAAACCAAAAACAAAAAAACCTTCACATACTAAAACAAAAGGCAGTATCTTTTCCCATTTAATAACACAGTAATTCCTTATTAAAAACTTTCTTTCTTAGCATGATGGGAAAAGGGGCAGCTCAAGCATTGTCACATTCCACCCATACCTTGTTTCACTGCCGTGGATGGGCTCAGTTTCCCGGACTTGATCTGGGCTTTGGCAAGATGCAGAGATGCTGCTAGCAGCTGTGCTGCTTTCATGTATAACACCAGCTGCTCCACCCGCCTGCACCCAGAAGACAGCAAAGCAGAGTGTTACCCTGTGAATCAATATGCCAGACTTGGCTCTTTACACATCAGGTCATCATTAAAATAGCCTTTCTAAGGGAATATCATTCTCCTTGATATTTGTAACATACAAATGACTCCTGAAAGGAGAAGTTTCAGCATGGAAAAAGATGTGTGTGCTTTGAATACAACAAAACACTCAGATAAAAATCAATACAATCTCTTTATCATCTAAACTCTTCAAGGGTATGATTTACAGGGAAAAGGCAACACTAAGGTTGAAGAATCTCCAAGTCTTGGCTCATGTAGTGAAACCTAGCACAATGGAATAACTTAGAGACTTCCTTGAAGCTTTTAATAATGGGATATGATCTTCAGTGGATGACAAGGCCTCCTCCATCTCAGACATGAATTTACAGAAAGCATAACAAGTCTTAAAGTAAATGACAAAGTGGGTACCTACCCCCAGTCTTTGCTCAGTTGGCTGATCTGGTCCACAACCACACTCTCCTGAATCTGGTACAAGGAGACAGCAGATGTGCACAGCTCTGGGTTTCCCCCTCTTATGGCTGTCAGGTCCAGCACACATTCAGTGAACATCAGCATCACATTGAGGTGGCGTAAGGTATCTGTGTGTTCTCGCTGCATCAAAGCCAATTTGTCTTAAAAACTTTCCGGTTAAAAAGGGGTGATACTCATTTCTGTATATCAACCATATCCACTGACGATATTTTTCTATACTTAAGAATATCAGAATGATCAAAGGAGACTGAAAATTTTAAATTCTAGAAAACTGGTGAGAAAATAAACACAAATGAAACCAAGTGTGAGTATGTGCATGTGTTTGTGTGTATGTATGAGAGCACTCACAAAAGTAAGCTTCAAAGATATGAGGTCACTGTGCTTTCACCAGAAAAAAATTAAATATCGAACAATTAATATAAATGAGACAAAAACATGACAAAATAAGTATCAATATTATAAGGATATTCTGAACACTTAACCATACTTTTGATAGTTTAGTGAATTCTACTGACTTATAATTTCAGAGATGCTTTATTTTAATTTCTGGTGGTTTTTCAGTTAACGATGATTCCTAATACCAAAGCTCTAAATTTGTGTGATCTGTTCAGTTAGAGAAGGGAGTATAGATAGACACAATAGCGTGTATTAAAAATGGGTATTCTAAAATTAATATTTGTTTTTAGCTATAAATGTATTTTAAAATCTCAAATAAGACTAAGATTCTTACTCTCCTTTTATGGATAAAAAAAAGGATAAGAATCATTTTCCTAGAGACAGGAGAATAAACCAATCAATTTTTGAAAGTATCATTGCTCTAGGACAACACACTGGACTATACATGTTCCAATATACTGACATACATCAGTGACGTTCTACAGATATTGGAACATAATTGATGTCTAATTTTATGGAGACTGAAAAAATTGAAGGTTGCTTTTCCAATCTTAGATTACCCATTTTCAAAATTACTACTAAACTTACTATAAATCATTACTAAAATTTTGCATGCACTATAACTTTTATGTGAAATATTTAATTCTCCTTCACACAAAATAAAAATGTTAGAGATCTAGCACAGGGAGAAAATTTGTTCTTTAGTTGGTCTAGAGAACTAATCATTTTAATTTGAAATGCAGAGTAAGTCAGCATTATATTCAGGGACAAGGACACAATGTTGTCCCACTGAATGCTGTCCTAGAATCAAGACTGAGGAATTGAGCTGGTAGTCTTTGGAATCATAAAATTAACTTTTCTTGTTCTAGATTTGTGCTCAGTATGCTTCAGATTATGATATGTTTTTTCCTGTAGAACTGGGTCCATGGAGGGAAGGTATTGTGAGCATTCAGTCTGCTTGGCAGGTTTATTTCTCAGTGTTAGTGACGAATCTGGCATTATGGTTTATTATTTTTTTAAACCCGAGTTTACGTGTATTTTCTTTTATCTTATGAAGAAAAATAAGCTTTGAGAATAATAAGTTATGGCTTTAAGACAAAGACTGTACTTCAAGAGTCCTATAAATAGTAAATAAACTTTAGATTAAAAAACTTAACAATAAGGGTTCCAGTCAAGATGGTGGAATAGTTAAACACTGTGCTTGCCTCCTCTCACAACCGCATCAAAGTTACAACTAAACAGAATAGCCATTTTTGGAGTTGCCTGGAGTCAGCAGAAATTCTACAACTGGGGACACACAGGAGAGGCCACCTCGAGACTGGCAGGAGGAGCAGAGATGTGAAATAAGCTGGTCCATACCCGTGCTTGGTGGTTGAGAATCGGGAGAAATATCTTGGCCTTTAGAGGTCTCCCCTCTGTGGAGCAGGGAGTCCCGGATCCACACTAGGCTCCCCAGCCCAGGGTTCCAGTGATGGGAAGAGAAGTCCCCACAACTTCTGGCCATGAAAACCAGCAGAGATTGTGGCTGAGTGAGACAAAGGGCTGGGGGAGTCGCAGGAACTCCTCTTGAAGGGCCCTGCACGAACTTACTCGCTGACAGACTCACTCACTCTGAGTTCAAGTACTAAGGCAGCAGCTTGAAAGGTACAAGGGACATATGGGGAGAAACTGAATTGTCTGGTTTCAAGCCAACGGCTGGAGGGGTAGCCCTCTCCCAGACAGAAGTGCTGGCAAAGGGTGCTGTTCCTTTGTTGAGCTCTCTCCCTGCTCAGCCTGAAGACCCAGGTGGCTGCATATCTGAGTCTCCATGAGCATAGCTAACACTGGTTTCCCCACCCTGATGAGTCCCTGAGACCCACCCCTCCCAAATGGAGTCCCACCCAAGCCACTTCCAGTGAATTTTCCACATAAACAGCCTGTCTTGGCTGATGCTACGGATTTTCCTAAAATGTCACAAGGTTCACAAAACCTAAACAACAGCATCTGGCTTCGGCGTACCCCATACCTCTTTTTGAGCAGCCCCAAGCCTGGCGCTAGCAGTAGCTGGCCTCAGTTTGCAGCTTGGCCACCTGGGAGACTTTCAAGCCCGGCATGGGTGGCAGCATTCTGCAGATTGCTTGGTGGCTCATGCCAAGTGGCCCTAGGTAGGACACAGCCTGCAGCTAAACTTAGCCTACAGCAGGGCCCCTCCCAGGAGGCCCTGGCCTGTACACAAGGTGGCCGGCTTCAGTCTGAGCCAGAGCACCACCTGGGGTCACATCTGAGGATGACACACCCAAAGAGCAGACAGGGCAGGCACTAGAGCCCAGCTAAAATGACTCTTGCTCTGTAGGGTCAGCCCCTGCACAACAGCTCCTCCACTGGGCACAGTCAGTCAGCCCAAGGGTCAACTCCTCCCACTGATGAGCAAACAGCAACCAAGGCTCAACTAGAACAGGAGAGCTCACACAACCCATACAAGGGACATACCTGGAGCAGCTGGCTCAGGTGACCAGGGCGACTATGCCACTGTGATCCATAGCACACCTACTACATAAAGCCACTCTACTAAGACTGGAAGACATAGCAGCCCTACCTAATAGATAGAAACAAACACAAGTAGGCAGCCAAAATGGGAAGACAAAGAAACATGTACCAAATGAAAAAACAAAAAACAAAAAACAAAAAAAAAAACAGAACAAAGCTCCAGGAAAAGGACTAAACAAAACGGAGACAAACAATCTACCAGATGTAGAGTTCAAAACACTTGTTATAAGGATGCTCAGTGAACTTAGGGGAAGAGTAGAGGAACTCAGTGAGAACTTTAACAAAGAAAATATAAAAGTAGAGATAGAAAACATAATTCAGAAATGAAGAATATGATAAGCGAAACGAAGAATACCTGAGTACAAATTAACAGCAGGTTACACGAAGCAGAGGATCAAATCAGCGATTTAGAAGATGAAGTAGCAGAAAACAGCCAATTAGAACAGCAACAAGAAAAAAAGAATTCAAACAAATGAGGATGGTTTAAGGAGTCTTTGGGACAACATCAAGTATACCAACATTCGCAACATACAGGCACCAGAAGGAGAAGAGAGAGAGCAAGGAATTGAAAATCTATTTGAAGAAATAATGACGGAAAACTTCCCTAACCTAGTGAAGGAAATAAGACATACAAGCCAAGGAAGCAATACAGTCTCAAACAAGATGAATCACAAGGGGTCTACACCAAGACACATCATCATTAAAATGCCAAAGGTTAAAGACAGAGAGAGAATCTTAAAAATAGCAAGAGAAAAGCAGTTACCTACAAGGTAAAACCATCAGCTGATTTCTCAACAGAAACTTCGCTGAATGGAAGGGACTGGCAGGAAATATTCAAAGTGATAAAAAGTGAGGATCTACAACCAAGATTACTCTACCCAGCAAAGCTATCATTTAGAATCAAAGGACAGATAAAGAGCTTTCTAGTCAAGAAAAAGCTAAAGGAGTTCACCCACCACCAGGCCAGTATTATTGATGTTAGAGGGACTTCTTTAGGAAGAAGAAGGAAAAAGAAAAAAAGTATGAATAATAAAATGGTAATAACTACATATCTACCAAAAATTACTTTCAATATAAATGGATTAAATGCTTCAATCAAAAGACAGGGTGTCTGAATGGGTAAGAAAACAAGACTCTTATATATGCTGCCTATAAGAGACTCACTTCCGATTGATAGACACACACAGTCTGAAAGTAAAGGGATGAAAAAAGATGTTTCTTGAAAATGGAAACAAAAACAAGCTGAGGTAGCAATACTTATACCAGACAAAACAGACTTTAAAACAAAGACTATAAGAAGAGATAAAGAATCTGGTTATCTCACTTCTGGGTATTTATCTGAAGAAACCCAAAACACTACTTTGAAGGGACATGTGAATTCTTATGTTCATTGCAGCATTATTTACAATAACCAAGATATGGAAACATCTTGGGTGTCCATCAATAGACAAATGGATAAGGAAGAGGTGGTATTATACACAATGGAATATTACTCAGCCATAAAAAAGAATGAAGTCCTGCCATTTGCAACAACATGGATGAACCTAGAGGGTATTGTGCTCAGTGGAGGAAATCAGACAGAGAAAGACAAATGCTATATATGGAATCTAGAGAAGAGGATAAACAAACAATAGAAACAAGCTCATAGATACAAAAAGCATTTTGATGGTTGTCAGACTGGGGATGGAGGGGATGATGAAGTGGGGAGGGGATTAAGAGGTATGAATTGGTAGTTACAAAATAGTCATGGGGATGTAGAATATAGCATAGGGAATCTAATCAGTAGTATTGTAATAACTACATATGGTGTCAGATGTATACTGGATTTATTGGGATGATCTTCATAAGTTATATAAATGTCTAATTACTGTGTTGCACACCTGAAATTAATATAATATTGTATGTCAACTATAAGTGGAAAAAGAAAGTAACAATACAAAAGCTAAATGTGTCACTTCCTATTAACCAAAGCCTGTCATGGATGAGTGTAATGATCAACATATTCTGAAAATGTATCACCAATGTTTTTCAAAAAGAAAAGATAATTTAAAGAAAAAAGTTTCAGAACTTTTGATAGTATTTTGCTCTTTCGTCATTATTAGAACATTCTCCTATAGTATTAACATTACAATGATTCAGCACAATGGTATCTTCTCTACCTCCATTAGTGTCTCTTCCGGCAGTTCAGGGGCTTCAAAGGTGATGAATCCCTCTAGACTAGGGGGTGAAGCACCATAAGGCATGTATCTCAGGCTAGGAGCTGCCTCTGCTCCTGGAGGGGAAGACCCCCAGCATGGCCCAGGCGGGGAGCCCACACACACTCGACCACTTGCGGAGCACAGGGAGCCTCCAGAGCTGCTGGAGCCCACTGCAAGGAAACAGGACACGTGGCGCAGGGCCCAGAGTGAGTGCACAGAGTAAGGGGCTTCCATGCCCACTCCTACTTTAAAAGGAACAAAGGAAATATTAAAAGAAAAGTCACTTGCCACCTATTTGAACATGGGAATAGGTTTATTTTTCCATGTTCACCTATATGAATATTTTATAGACATAATCACAGCTAGTTTTTAAATATTCTGTTTTAAACAAATTTATAGTATATACATTTCTCCTTGCTTCTCCATAGTATGCATAAGGGTTCACTAAAAATACATCCTTAATGCTAATCTGGAGGCATTTATACTATTTCTGATTTTTTAATATCATAAATAACACTGTAATAAAATCCAAAGTTTTTCCTTCTTTTGAATGATTTATTTGTGATTAACACTCCAAAGCAGTATTATAAACAGGAATGAGATTACCACAGATCAAATATCATAAAGATTTTTAACAGCTCCTTGTAAGAATTGCCATTACTTTCTAAAGCAGCTGTGAGTAAACATAGAGATCCTATTAAACCTCAACAACTCTGGGCATTATATTGTTTTTAATGTTGGCTTAGTTAATAGGTATCACATGTTACTTTCTTAAAATGATATTTTCTTATTATTTAATACTTTTAATAATCTTAAAAATAAGATTAGCTCTACTTCCTCTCTTGTTATCTATTTATATCCTTTGTTTATTAATCTACTGAATCTTGATTAGTAACTTATTTAGCATATAAGAACTTAAGCAACACAGGGCAAAATATAAAATAATGTCAAATGATAACTCATTTCAAGTCCAATCTAAATACTTTAAGTTTTGGAATTAATACAAATTTTAGTATAATAACCTATTTTTAGAGTATGAATGATAAAACAAATTTATTAGTCTAAATGTATATAGGGTTAAGTAAAAAGACACCCAAAGTACAAAAAAGGTAAAACTTAAATTTCTAACAAAACAAAACAAACATAAAGAACAACCTATCATTTTCAAAAAAGTTACTGGATATATTAAAATAAGCTTTCAATATAAGCTAGGAAGCACCATGTATGCATAGCTGCCTCATCATTAAAAAGTCACATTTATATTATATTGCTATAATAGTAATACTATTATAAATATATAATATAGTACTTTTATTCATAAAGT